GCAAAAGAGTTTCTGTAACCATCCTTTGCTTGCCTTCGCTGTTATTTTGTTATTATTTTAACAACTTTTGGAATGGCTTTTAAGTGAAGAATGAATTTCTTTATGATCTCATATTTTTGGTATGTTCTGCAGATTCGCGTCTCTGCTGTTCTTACAAATGGTGCATATCTTTTGAATGTGGATTGTGATCATTACTTCAACAACAGCAAGGCTCTTAAAGAAGCTATGTGTTTCATGATGGACCCCGTTCTTGGAAAGAAGACTTGCTATGTTCAATTCCCACAAAGATTTGATGGCATTGACTGGCACGATAGATATGCCAACCGCAATATTGTATTCTTTGATGTATGTGTCACTTGAGTCCTTACGACTTTGATAACATCAGCTATTATTTTTACATAAGCGCATTATGAACTTTTTTATGGTCTTGTGCTACAGATCAACTTGAAAGGGCTCGATGGGATTCAGGGTCCAGTCTATGTGGGAACTGGATGTTGCTTTAACAGGCAAGCTTTGTACGGGTATGATCCGGTCCTAACTGAGGAAGATTTGCAACCAAACATTATTGTCAAGAGCTGCTGCGGCTCTAGAAAGAAGGGAAGCCATGCTGATAAGAAGTACATTGACAAGAAGAGAGCAGCAAAAAGGACTGAATCCACCATTCCAATCTTTAATATGGAGGACATTGAAGAGGGTGTGGAAGGCAAGTCTGTTTACACATTGAGCAGTTTTGGATAAGGAAGTCAAAAAATTTTGGGTTTAGCTGCTGATGTTTGATTTCATTATTATTCACCTACCTTATCAAAACCTAAAATACTTTTGGGTCAAACCCCCTCATTTAAAAGCATAAGTTATTAAAAAGTAGACACATTAAGCTTGGAAATTATGCACAATATACAACTTTCTAAACTCCTTGACTTTGTATTTAGTTTCAACTTGTTAGCTATTTTATTAGCAATTCTGAAACAAGCATGACTTAAATCATGGTGATTAATGCTTAATGCATTCCTTGAGTTTTACAGGATATGAAGATGAGAAGTCGCTCTTTTTGTCTCAAAAGAGATTGGAGAAGCGGTTTGGTCAATCACCCGTTTTCATTGCTGCCACCTTTATGGAACAGGGAGGCATTCCACCGTCAACAAATTCTGCTACTCTCTTGAAAGAAGCAATCCACGTCATTAGCTGTGGGTATGAGGACAAAACTGAGTGGGGTAAAGAGGTAACTTTGATAGTTTTCCCCTGGGTTAAAACTTCCACCCAACTTGTAGCAATGTTTCATTCAAGTCACCGAACTTTTCCAAGGTAGTCATTTAACTTTCATTTTTGTTTTCATTTAGGCATAAAGCTTTTTGCCTTCTCTCTGCTGAATTAGTGGAACTGATGACGTGACATGAAAAATCCATTGGTGCATAACTTTTATTTTCCAACTGGACCAAAATACATTTCTCTGTCATACTCGTGTTTTGTGTCGAACTTTCTGTCTCTATATAAATTGCATTTCAAGTGCAAAACTTGTCCAACAATATGTTTCTTTGCCTAGTTGGACGATAAAAGTAATGCACTAATGGATTTTCCATACTGCATACGTGCATCATATTCTCCATTAACCATGTCAGCATTTTTTTTAATTCTGCAAAACAGTTTGCCTAAGATATGAAACAAAAATGAAGTTTTGACTAACTTGGAACACAAAAAAGGTTCCATGACCACAGTGAAACAACGCTATACAAGTTGACAAAATGTTATTAAACCCATTTTTTAATATTGAGTAAGCATGTTATAGAATTAGGGAATCTAGAATTTGACTTCTATAGATGGCATTTGCATTTCTAGTTGCTAGGCTATTGAGATTAATTCTTTGCTTTCAGATTGGGTGGATATATGGTTCTGTCACAGAAGATATTTTAACGGGGTTCAAAATGCATGCACGAGGATGGATTTCTATCTATTGCATGCCTCCTCGCCCGGCTTTCAAGGGTTCTGCTCCCATCAATCTCTCGGATCGTTTGAATCAGGTCCTTCGGTGGGCTTTGGGATCTGTTGAAATTCTTCTGAGTCGGCATTGCCCTATATGGTATGGTTACAATGGAAGACTGAAGCTCCTGGAGAGACTGGCGTATATCAACACTATTGTTTATCCCATTACCTCAATTCCGCTGCTTGCTTATTGCATTCTTCCAGCTATATGTCTTCTTACTAATAAATTTATCATTCCTGAGGTAAGTTACAACTTTCACTATTGCTGGTTAAAAGTGTTTTTCAACGTGTCTTTTCCGATCTGCCTAGTGTTCATCTGTTAAATTATTTTCTCTAATATCTGTACACATCATCAACCTGCTTGAGAAGCCAAAATTAATGGCCAAAAGTACGTTTGTTTTAAGCTTAAAAAGGTTAATTATAAGCTTTGAAATTTATAAGTTTTTTTATTGGTCAAAGTTGGAAATTGGCAAGTGTAGCAAGGCAAGAGTTACTTCCAAAATAAGCGACTTTTTTCCAAAATATCCAAATTTGGAAACCGAAATTCATGTTAAATAAATTTGTTTTTAAGCTTAACAGCAGGCTCCGGGAACCATGCTTCCCCTTTCTTCCACTGGATTAGAAGCTTCGTGGGTGGGGATCAGTTATACGACTTCCTGTGTTAAATTCCTGTTAATAAAGACAAGGATCTCTCTACCATGTATTTATTATGTCAACTGCATGCCATGTGTTGACCGTGCACCTACACCTACTTCTATTCTTCTGCAGATAAGCAATTTTGCTAGTATGTGGTTCATTCTTCTCTTTGTCTCTATTTTTGCTACTGGAATTCTGGAAATGAGGTGGAGTGGTGTGAGTGTCGAAGATTGGTGGAGAAATGAACAATTCTGGGTCATTGGTGGAACATCGGCTCATCTATTTGCCGTTTTTCAAGGTCTCCTCAAAGTTCTTGCTGGGATAGATACAAATTTCACGGTCACTTCGAAGGCATCTGATGAAGATGGAGACTTTGCGGAGCTTTATGTGTTCAAGTGGACATCCCTCCTCATTCCTCCAACCACTGTCCTTATTGTGAACTTGGTAGGAATTGTCGCTGGTGTTTCATATGCCATTAACAGCGGATATCAGTCATGGGGTCCTCTGTTCGGGAAGTTGTTCTTTGCCATTTGGGTTATTGTCCACCTTTACCCATTCCTCAAAGGTTTGTTGGGCCGGCAAAACCGCACACCTACGATTGTCATTGTCTGGTCAATACTTCTCGCATCCATTTTCTCCCTGCTTTGGGTTCGGATCGATCCGTTTACGTCGGCAGCTACAAAGAGAGCTGCTCAAGGCCAATGTGGTGTCAACTGTTAGTTACTTTGAAAACAATTTTTTACCATCAGTTCAGTGTCTCCTCGTGATGTTTGCCTTTGTGTATATAGACAAAGAAACCAATGGCTTGTTTTGTAAGATTGACCAGGCAATAATCGACGGTATTAATGAAGAAAAGGTTGTTGAGCTCTTAATATTGAACTGTCCAGTCGAACCAATTCAGTACAGTACAATGCACCAGACGTGCCCTCGTGTGAAAAGTCAGAGTGCAGATTTCCAAGCTATGCTGTACCATTTACCCAAAGGAGTGAGATGGATGAATTTGTCAAGGGTCGTCTTATTTTAGTCCATAGTTTTGTTGGTAAACGTTGTCTCTTTCATTAGTGTTCACATGGTATAGTTGTGTCTTAAAAGTTACAACTTTCAAATTTGTTGTGTTATTAATATTATTGTGCAGAAATGTGATGATTATTTTTGTTATGGAGAGTTCTTTTGAAATAATTTCTATTCGTTTGTTAAGTTGATTTTCAATGTCATTCAT